CCCCCCCCCCCCCGCCCCTCGTTTTCCATCATCTTGTCTGACAGAAATTCCTGGGTCCCTCTGAGCTGCTCCATCCTACACAGCTCTGCTTTCTCTTTCTCTGGCTGCACCGTTGCAAGTTTTGGTGGCCGGAAATGTTTCCTGGGTGGCCGGATCCAGGCCCTTCCTTGCTTCTTTTCCTCTTGTCATCTTGTTCAGAGGGGAAGGGCCGGCTCCTGCAGAGATCAGAGCCGGGCAGGGCCCCCCTCGGCCACCCTTCCCGCAGCAGCAAGGAAGGCCTGCTTTCCTCCTGCCCCCCCCAGAGGTGACTCTTGAGGGGGCCCTCGGTCGTCCCTCCGTCCACTGTCTGGGCCGGCTCTCCCTCCCTGGGGTCGTTAATCTGCGGTGGCCACGCTGGGGGTGGTGGTGGGGGTGGTGCGGCATTTCTGCTGCTCAGAGCATTTTCCCTCTGATTTATCCTCTGGTTCTTTCCCAGCGCATTTCTCTTGCCAGACCCTGTCCAAGAAAGCTCTGTGTGGGCTTTCTCTTCCCTTCTCTCTCTCTCTCTCTCTCAAGATCTGACAGGCAGGTAGAGGGAGGGGGCCTTGGGACTCGCAAATCCCCACCCCACCCCATTTCTCCCTGGGGCTGGGCGGGAAGGAGCCCGCCTTCCCCTCTCTCCTCTCTCCTCTCCTGCTGTGGGGTGGTCCAGGGCTGGCAGGTCAGCTGCCGATGGCAGGGGGGCTTGGCTGTCAGGGAGAACTGCCCTCTGGCTAGAGAGAGCATGACCGCCGTGGGGCCCAGGGCCTTGCGGGGAGGTCAGCCCCCCTTCCTTTCTTCTTGTGCTCTGGGCAGGCGACTGGAGATCCCTCCCAACGCCGTGCGGTGCTAGGGCTTCCGTGGGCGCTTGGACATTTGTGGACGTCACTCTGGAAGCGCCTCCGAGCTCTTTTGCTCAGGCGGGGTGCGCTTGGGCTTCCCCCTGCCCCGGTGGCTCCTCCTTAGAGTTGCCCCTCCTTCTCCTTGGGTGGCCGTGGCCAGAGGATTGTGCAGAGCTCTTTGCCCCACTTCCCTACCCTGCAGGGGTGTTGTTAGCTCAGCCAGGGGTGCTCTTGTGGCTGCGGGGGCCTTGCGGGTTGCCCCACCCTTTTGCAGCGCCCAAGATTTATGGCCACGCAGGAGCCTGTTTTAATTCATAGCCCCTGCCACTGATGCTGAGAGGCCCTTGACCTTCGGCCCTCCCTGGCAGAGCCTCGGAGCCACGGCGGCCTGTCACGGGGTGACTGCTGTTTTTGGCACAGCGGGAGCTCCCCCCCCCCGGGAAGGTCCTCGAGCTCAGCTCCCTCGGGTGCAACTTTGATCAGCTTCCCCTCTCCTCCGAGTGGGTACGCGAAGGGTGTTGAGAGCCTCTCTGGCCTCCTGCCCGAGACCATCCACCACCCGAGCTCTCGTCTGTGCGGTGACGCGTGTCCGTGGGTGGCTCCTTCCACCGTCTGCAAGATGGGAGCCGTGGCAAGGCGAGAGAGGGCCGTGGCTGCTTCCACGTTGTGGCATGCCCTCCCCTGGGGGGCCAGGTCGTCCTTCTGGCAACCTGTAAAAGGCTGTCCTTTTGAGGCACTCGTTTTAGAAGAGTTAGCGGTGTTAGCCTACGCTCGCATGCCAGGCGAAAACAAAACGAAAATAAAGAAGACAAAAACATTCCGGCACCTGAAAGACCAGCCGCACACCAGGATTGCCTGTGCCAGTGGCCCGGGGTTATGTTTTGGAGGGGGTCATTAGGGTCTCCTCCTTGGAAAGCTTGGGAATGAGCCCAGGTGGCGATGGAGTCACTGAGGAAGCTGGCCAGCAGGCGGAAGCTCTCTCTCTCTCTCTCTCTCTCTCTCTCTCTGTGTGTGTGTGTGTGTGAGAGAGAGAGAGAAAGGCGGTGGTGGAAGAGAGAGAGAGAGAGAGAGAGAGGCGGTGGTGCTGGTGGGAGTCCTGTGAGGAAGAGTGCACGTGGCAGGAAGAGGAAAACACTGGTAGCCCCTCAAAGGCTGACTGGCTGCTTCCAGTAGGGGCTTCTCTGGGTGGGGATCCGTCCCCAGACGGGTCAGAGAGCTGGCGCCTTGCAGAGGGGTGCCCTTCTGCGGAGGGAGGAGGAGGAGGAGGTCACAGGCTGGCCAGGGATCTCCTCAGGTGGCTCCTGTGGATCAGGCCCCTTTTCTCTCCCTCTCTCTCTGTCTCCTCTGCCACTACCCACCTTGCCCTCCTCTCTCATTATCTTGGGGAGGGGTCCTTGCGTGGATTCAGAGTGGGCCCTCCTCTCCTGCCCTCTTGCCCTTCCTGGTCTGCGGGCATCCATGTGGAGTGCGCCTCCCGTTACGCGGGGGCCTTTCGCTCTGTTCTGCGCGCATTTGTGTGTGTGCTTGCACTGACGGACACTCCTTCTCCCCAGGGCCCTTGGTCACATCCCCAGTCCTCATGGGCACACGTTTGTGTAGGTCTGGACACAGGGAAACCCCTTCCCTCGGTTCCCCTGTGTCTCTGGCTGGGGGTGGGTTTGGTTTTTTGGGTCTCATTTTTTGGAGGGTGTGGGTCGAGTAGAGGGTCTCCCAGGGCCCATTTCCTCGGGTGATGCTGTGTCTCTGTGGCCCGCCCAGGAGGCTGGCGAGGGTGACCAAAGAGAAGAGGGAGGGTTGGGTTTGTGTGGGGGGGGGAGAGATGCCTGTAAGGGAGGTAGCCCAGAAGAGAGAGAGAGAGAGAGAGAGGGAAGCCAGACCGGGAAGCCTGTGGGGCTCTGGACCGTTGCCGTGGGGCTTGGCCCACTGCTCTTCCCTGCTGGAGGTCTGGCTGCCTTGTTGCAGGAGGGTGTCTTTGTAGCCACGGCGTGGACGTCAGCCTGCCTGGGACCTCCGGAGGGTTGTCTTTCCTGGCCTTGGGGCTCTGGACACAGAGGGGCTGCGCATTCACACACAAACACCCCTTTCTTTCTTTCTCTCTCTCTCCTACAGGGATCGAGTGTCCGCGCGGAGCCCGGAACCTGCCCGGGTTAGTCCAGGAAGGGGAGCCCTTCAGCGAAGAGGCCACGCTCTTCACCAAGGAGCTGGTGCTGCAGCGGGAGGTAGGGGCCGGGCCGGGCCACGGGAGTGGGTGGGCCCAGGGCTTGCCTCCGTGGAACCGGAGAGAGCCTGGCGGCTCTCGGAGTCGCCGGAGACGTTGGCTCCCTCAGCTTGGGGCGGTGGGTCAGAGGGAGTGGCGCTTGGGACCCGTTCCACCGGGGTCCTCCTCCTGTGGAAGAGGAGAGGAGGGCATGGGTGCACGCACGCCCAGGCACGCGACCGGGTGCGTTTCCTGTCTAGCAAGGGGCGGGCTGGGATGGTGGCGCCGCTTGGATCCTGTGGCACCTCCCTGGAGCCTGGAGTGCCTAGCCTGGAGATTGCCAGGGAATCGGACCCTAAGAAGCGGGTCAGGGTCTTGGGTGTGGCGCTCGGGACGGGCTCGGGAGCAGGGCCTGCAGACGGCTGGGGTGCTGCGTGGGCGGCCACGTGGACTGGAGCCCGAGGGAAGCTCTGTGCGTGTGTGGAGGGGTGTTCATAAACTGGGGAGGGTCGACTCAGCCTCTTGGCTCGGGGGGCGGGGGGGTCCTTGCAAAATGCAAAGAAGGGAAGGAGGGGGAGGGGCTGGGATTTGGCCTTTGGTCCTGGCGGTGGCTTGCTTTTAACAGCCTGGAGTTGGAGATATGCTGGAGATGGGCATTGGGGGGGGGGAATGAATCGGTGGGATGTTCTGGTGTGCCAGGGAGCCGTCCGGCTGCGGCGGGGAGGGACAGAGGGCCCTCCTTGCCCAGTTGCCCTCTGCGCTGTTTCTGACCTCAGGGTTTTCTCAGGGAGCGAGGGGTGGTGCGGGGCGAGGGGGCCCCCGATCAGCCTCCAACCGCAGGCTGAGACTGTGCAGGACCCTCCCTCCCTTCCACTTCAGGAGTTCCCTGCCAGGGACCCAGGTGCTTCCCCCGAGTTCGGGAGCTTTCTCTGCTGGCGTGACTCACTTACGTGTTGCTTTCCAAGCCTTGCTCTTCTTGATGAAACCGACTTTGGGACCGGCCAGGGCCTTCCTCCTGGCCCAGAGGCCGGGGGCTAGCTAGCAGCACCTCGGGGCCCCTGTGCCGTCGCTGCTTTGAACAGGCCGACCTCTCCCACGGCGCCGTCCCAGATGGCACTCTGCGTCTGCCCGACTGGTCTTGGTCGCCCGGCGGCAGGCAAGATCTCTGGCCAGGGCACATAGCGTAGTGGCCGTCCCGAACCGTGACAGTGGCCTCCGGGCCGGCAGGGTTGCAGAGTTTTCCAGGACTCGTCCAAGGGGTGGGGGAGCCTGTGCTGCCGTTGCTGAGCGCCTCAGCAGAGCCATCACCACCTCCCTCCTCCGGTTGGGGCGGACAGGGAGACCCGTCCTTCAGTAGCCGAGCCCCGAGCCCACAGCAGCCCTTGAAGGAGGGACTGCCTCGGATGTGGAAGGTGGACCCGTGGCAGGAGCTCCGTCCACGCTACGAGGAGGCACTCTCTGTTTTGTGCGTGGTCCGGGGCGGAGCCGTGCCAGCCTGCCATTCTTTCAGGGCTTCGCCCCAGCGGTGGCTGCTGTGGTGGCCCCCCTGCGCCGCCCCCCCCACAAGGCATTGGGCGCTGCCTGGTGGCAGCATTTGGAAACGTCCTTTGTCCTGTGAAGGTGGTTCTACCATGGATCTGGATGTCCTTCGTTTGATTTGGTTCGCGGTGCACGGCCTGGCGCCTCTCGTGCAAAGGTAGCGTGAAAATGCTATGCAGAAACGAATCGTGCCCTGGGCAGGCGAGTCTCTTGTCCTCCTGTGTTAAGGCAGGGCTCGGGAGATGGGACTCCAGCCCGCCTCAGGGCATGGGGGTCTGGGGCTTCTTCGGTTCGTCCCTGCCCCTCCCTTCCGCTTCTCCTCGGTGCTTTCCTCTCCTAGCCTAATAAACGCCTCAAAGGCCTCCCGGGCTAAAGAAATGGGCCAGTCCTGTCAGGAAGCCGGCCTGGTGGCCACGGGTGGTGGTGGTGGTGGTGGTGTTGGCTACTGCTGGGGCGGCAGCTGTTGCCTCTGCTCTCTTCTCTGGCGGTTCTTCTGGGTTCCTTGTGGGGGGGGGTTAGGTGCAGCCAAGGCCAGGGTGCTGAGGGATGTTCTGGGAGACCCATTCGTTCTCTCCCCCGCCCCCCGGTTTGAAGCTTTGGCCCGCTTGCAGGGCGGTGGTGGCTGGGTCTGGCTCAAGGGAGGGAGAGTGGCTGCTGGGTGCCTCTGGCAGAAGGGGTGGGGGGGCGGGGGGGTTTCAACCCTTGAGGGTCCCGGTGCCCCCAGGAGAGTGGCTGGGAAGGACAGGAGCCGCGGGAAAAGGGAAGAGGCTCCCGGGAGGGGCCTTGGAGACCAGCCCCCCCCCCCAGGGACCAGAGGAGGGTTTGCCCAGCACAGAGACACTTCCTCTTTCGCCCCCCCCTCCACCACCGGCTTCCTTCCTCCTTGGACGTGGCGCTCTGCCAGGAAGGCCAAGGCTCCAGCCTTCCCTTGGCAAAGCACGGGCACTTTCTCAGCTGGATGGACGCTCGAGGGCATGACATGGAGCCTTGCTCGAGGGCTGGAGGATGCCCTGGCCGGCCAGGCCCCTTCCGCCCCCCACCCTCCAGGGCCAGGGGGCAAGGAGCAGAGCAAGCGGGGAGGGTCTTTTCTGGGGGAAGGTCTGTCCTGTGAGAAGGAGCCCTCTTTCCTGCACGCGCACGCACACACACACACACACCCTGCGTGGGAGGAGGGCAGGAGGGAGCCCCCGGGCTCTTGGCTGGCGCTGCCTGTCTCTGTGCGTGTCCCAGATACAGGGAAGAAAGAGAGAGAGAGAGAGAGGAATGGAGGAATCTCGGAGAGGGGACGGCGGGGGGAGCAGAGCAGCAGGCTTGGTCTTCTAGGCGGAGGCCCTCGGGGTGGGGGGGCATGGGTTAAAAAGGAGAGAATGGCTGGTGGAGGGAGGGCCTGGGGTATACAGAGCCCCCCCCCAAGCGGTCCCTACATCAGGCCCGGGTGCCGTCTCTGAGCAGGGAGGGGAGCTCCTTTGTGAGCCAAGCCCTTGGGCATCCTGGGAGGAAGGCTGGTGGTCCCTGTAGGGACAGGGAGGGGTGTGTATGTGTGCCCAAGGGGGGGGCGGGGGCGGCAGACCCAGCCTTAGCCAGCCATGGGCCTGGAGCCCTTCAGGGTGGGGAGGATTTCTGCATGGAGATGAGAGTTTGGGGAAAGGTCGCTTCGGTCTCTTTATTCACCGCTCCCCTATAAAGGGGGCTCCAAGTGTTCCACAATGTTTCCCCCCCCCTCCTCGTCAGAATACAGCACATTTGGAGAGAGAGAGAAAAGCACCAAAAGTCCAATAAATAATAAATAAAATGCAAAAAGGTTTTGGGTGGGTGAGGCCGACGGTTGCAGCAGGTCTGAGCCATACTGAAAGAGTCAGGATCCGGCCTCCCCCACCCACCCCCCATTCTGTCTCTGGCCTGGGTCCCCAGTGGAGAAGGGGATGGTGGGTGCTGCCCTGCTGCTGGACGGGGCCAGGCTGCGCACAAAGGTCTCACGGAAGGAAGACATTTGTCCCCGTGGCCTCTGTGGCCGTAGAGCTCTTACCTGCCTCCCGGTGTCTCCTGGGGAGCTGCTCTTTATTTGGCAGGTTTCCGTAGGTACGTTTGGGGTGGTGTGTGTGTGTGTGTGTGTGTGTGAGGATGGGTGGGTAAGGCCTGCTTCAGGCCCCCGCCTTCTTTGTGGATCGATTAAAAGAGGTGGCTTTTTGCAGGGGGGGCAGGTGTGTGTGCGGGGAGGTGTGATCGGTGGGAGGAGGGGACCCTCCAAACGGCTGCTCAGACCCTCAAGGCCGCCTTCGGTCGTGTCTGGAAGCGATGGCGACGGGTGCTGTGGAAGGCAGGAGCAGTCCTGCCAGCTGGGAGATGCTCTCTCTCTCTCTCTCTCTCTCTCTGTGGGTGGGTGGGGGGGGGGGGAGAGGGGAGGGGGGTGTGGATGTGGGGGGGGGGCGTCGC